TGCTGCTCGCGCTCCCAAAGTGGCTGGCTCTCAGCGGCTCCTGAGCACCGCCTCCGGACGCGCTCGTTTAAAACCTCGCGCGCGAGCGCGCGCGGCTGCTCCGCTGCTTCGCTCTTCGGCCGAGACGGGCGACTCCGAGGTCGGCAGACTCGCAAGAACATCCCTACGCTCAACCCACGGTGGAACCCGTCTCTACTACAAAAAATACAAAAAACCTAGCCGGGCCGACGCGTGGTGGCGCTGTATGTCCCCAGCTACTCGAGGCTGGAGCAGCGCGCCCGGCGGAGCTTTGCAAGTGAGCGAGCTGAGATCCGGCCACTCTCTCGCTGCGCAGAGCGGCCGTCTCAAAAACCCCGCCGGCAGGCCGCCGCGCTCTCATCGCTGTAAATCCAGCACTTTGGGAGGCCGAGGTGGGTGGATCACGAGGTCAGGAGATCAAGACCAGCCTGACCAACATAGTGAAACCCCGTCTCTACTAAAAATACAAAAATTAGCTGGGCATGGTGGCAGGTGCCTATAATCCCAGCTACTCGGGAGGCTGAGAAGAGGCAGGAGAATTGCTTAAACCCCAGGAACGAGGCAGAGGGTGCAGTGAGCCGAGATCGCACCACTGCACTTCAGCCACTCTGGGAGACAGAGACTCCATCTCAGAAAAAACAAAGCAAAACAACAACAAAAAAACTAGAGGGCAGGAAGAGCAGCTCAGGTATTGAGCTGGGAGCTGGAACCTCGAAGAAACCAGGGCAGTTAGGCTCTCAACTCTCTCTCCTACTTCCTCTTTTGCCACAAAACAACGTTCTCTGCTTCTTGGGGCACCGGTCAGGAAACGCTGGCTCCCCACTAAACTGTTCGGGACTGGGGGCAGGACTACGGGTAGGGGATGAGAAGTGGGGCAGGGCAAGGAAGCCAGGAAGAGTAAGGAGAGGCAGGCAGGGGCCAGATAAGCGGGGCCGATTCTTTAAGAACAATTCAACGGACACCTGAGGCCCCTGCTCAACTTAGAGCTGGAATGTGGCTCCTCAAGGCCCCAAGGGTCCTGCCTTTTCTAGTCCCTCCCTTCCTCTCCCGAGAGTTGACCATTCTGGAGATTTGGGGGTTTTGCTTGCTTTTCTTATCCAAAGAAATAGAGGGTTCTTTTTTGCCTGCCTTGTTTTAATTTTTTTTTTTTTTTTTTTTTTTTTTTTTTTTTTGCTGAGCAGATGTTTGTGGGGTTTGTTGTTGCTGTTGTTGCTTTGTTTTTAGTAGAGATGGGGTTTCACCATATTGCCCAGGCTGGTCTTGAACTCCTGGCCTCAAATGATCTGCCTGCCTTGGTCTCCCAAAGAGCTAGGATTACCGGCATGAAGCACCATGCCTGGCCCTGTGGGGTGTTTTAAGGTTGACATGAGTAGCTGAGGAGACGCAAGGCTGGTCCAGGACCTCCAGTACCTTTCAGGGGATGGAGCGACAGTGAGAAAACCCAGCGCGGCATCCATCCTGGACATCTTGGTAGAGCCCACTCCCTCGACAGCCTGGCCAGATAGAGGAGAGAAGGCGGCAGGCTCCCCGAGGGGAAAGAAGAGATAGTCAGTGGTGGAAAAATTGGCGGAAACTTCTCCACCACTTCATCCACGGAGATGATGCTCCGGACCCTGGCATTCGTGTTGGTGGTTCCACCTGCAGACGCCTGAGCCAAGCCCACGGGTTTCGACCCCAGCTCCACCCCTTTGGCCAAGCAGACACTGGGCCTGGTGGACAAGGTCTAACCTGAGGGTTCTGGGAGTGAAGAGCTGGACTGGGGAAGGTGGTTCTGGGTCCTCTGGGTAGAGCAGGAGTAACCAAGTGACTGGACAATGTACCCAGGGCCGGGGCATGGGTTGGGGGTGCCTGAGCAGGAGGGCCAGAGGGCCAGGGAATAGTAGCTCTGGGGAGCTGTGTCTGGGAGCCCATGTCTGGGTGTTGGGGAACAGCCTTGTAGGCCCAGCTCAGAAGGGTTCCACAGTGACCTAGGTCCTCCGGGATCTGGGATGGAGTGGGACTGCCTCAAAGCTGTCATTGTTGCTCCCTCGCCCGCCTGACTGTCTGGGGCTTAAAATAGCAGGAGCACAGCGGATCTCCTGAGAGAAGTTTCTGGCAAAGAGATTTGGGGGGAGGGGTGTGAGTCACAGCTGGGAACCCTTGAGTTTGAAGCTCCCAAAGCCCAGCTGCTCCACCCCTGCCCCCAGGGAGCCTGGAATCCATGGGCAGGGCAGGTGGGGGGTCCTCTGTTCCCTCCCTGTCCTGCTGTGGGAGTGGGGAGACTGGGTCCTGCCCCAGCTCTGCCATGGAGGTACTGGCTAGACGGCTGGGCCAAGTCCTGCCCCCTTCGGACCTCAGTTTCCCAGATGTACCAGGAGATGTGGATCTTGACATCTGCTGCGAGGTCCCTGGAGTTCACGGCAGGTGGTCCCAGTACAGACCCCCAGAGTCAGACAGCCATGGACTGAAATCCCAGTTCCACTCCCACTGGCTGAGTGTCTCTGAGCAAGTCCTCCCAGCTCTCCGGGTGAGTTTCCTCACCTGTAAAATTCACAATGAAACCAAGTCCTGCGCGTTCCAAGCTTCAGATTGCGCTATCCGGTAAGGATCCTCGCAGCTCCCGGGCACTGGTCCCCCGCTCCCCTCCCTGCACCCCAGCCTCCACCCCATCCTCAGATGGCACATTTTGTGCTGCCAGGAATGTTAGCAGCGACGTGACCCCACTTTTAATGCCATGTACTTTACACACGCTACCTCTGGCTCCCACGCCCTGGAGGACAGAGCTGGCTACTGTCCCCAGCGCTCTCCTGGGACATCCTCAACCTCAGTACTGGCCACTCCTGGACAGAAGGGGTAGTGGCTCCTGAGCGGGCCCTCTTGGGCATCTACCATGTGCCAGGCCCTGTGCTTGGCTCACCCCTGGAGTCCTGTGGGGCAGGGCTGATGCTCCCTGTTATGAGATGGGGAGACAGGCTCGTTGCTCCCCTGTCTCAAAGGGGTGCAGGGACCCTTTGCAGTCCAGAGTCCGCAGGACGCGGGGTCTGGACCGCGTGGTGCGTGTGGCCGGGGCGCCCTCTAGCGGCCGCTCTGCATGCCGTGTTGCCCGGCGCGAGAGCTGCCCTAGGGTGGAAGCGCAGCGGCTGGCGCGGGAAGTCCCTTCTCCGAGCCCACCGGTGTCCCGCCTGCTGCGTCTCCACCTCCTCCGAGCTGCGAGCGGTCTGGCCCTGACTGTCAGTCCTCGTGGCTTTGCAGGGACCCCACCGTGGCTGTACGCCCCGCCCCGATTACCATGGAGACGGCTTGTACACAGTTTCCCCTTTCCTCCGCCCAGTCCTGGGGTCCCACGGCCGCCTAGGTGGGAGCCCGCCAGGTCGGGGCGGGGCCGGGCGCCCATGAACAGCGGGGTCCCGGCCACCCTGGCCGTGCGGAGAGTGAAATTCTTCGGCCGTCACGGCGGGGAGGTAAGGCCCAGCGGGCTCTGCCCAGACTCCCGGCTTTGCGTGCAGAGTGGTTCCTGGTTCTGTGTAGTGGGGGTTCCAGAATGTTCTCTGGGCATTAGCTTAGGATATGGAGTCTAGAGTAGACTTTGCTAACCCAAGAAGGCTCAAAGTAGGCTCTCGGCTCCAGTGCTGGGCCCCAGCTCCAGAGCAGCTCTAGGTTCTAAGCTCTGCCTCTAAAAAGAGCCCCGGGCTCTGGGCTCTGCCTGGAGAGGGGCACAAAGCTCCCTGCTGACTCTGGTGCTTTCTGGGGCCCTGGCTCTAAAGTGAACTCAGGGCTTAGAGTAGATTCTGGGCTCTCCGTTGTCAGCTGTGGCTTTGGAATGGGATCTTGGCTCTGGGGTTCCAGGCTAAGGTTCCAGTGAAGGCTCCTGCCTTCAGCTGCAGGCTCTGGTTTTACTGGGCTCCAGGGAGCCCAGTGGGTCCCGGGTTCTGGGCTCTGGTGGTGGAGTGAGGCTTGAAGTCCAGCTCCAACCCCAGGCTCTTGGGGGCAGTGTTTAGGGGTCAGAGATGAGTGGACAGGGGTTTCTTCCCCAGAATGGGACCGCTTTTGTGCTCTGTTTCTAGGTCAATTCCTCTGCCTTCTCCCCTGATGGCCAGATGCTGCTCACAGGCTCAGAGGATGGCTGCGTGTATGGCTGGGAGACCCGGAGTGGGCAGCTGCTGTGGAGGCTGGGTGGCCACACAGGTGGGGCTCCCACACCTGGCTCGGAAGACCCGAGGCACAAGGCTCTGGCATTCTGCAGAGCTGACCGCAGCGACCTCCGAAGAGCTGGGCACGGGTGCAGGGCAGGGCTAGGCAGGACGGGAGATGGGATGTGATACCCGGGCACTGGGGCTTAGACTCTAACAGGCCTGGACTCAGATCCTTCTTTAAAAACACACACACACACACAAACTGTGATGTAACACACGTAATACTTACCGTTGTATATTTTTTTGTGTGTGACGGAATCTCGCTCTGTTACCCAGGCTGGACAACCTTGGCTCACTGTAACCCCTGCCTCCTGGGTTCAAGCAATTCTCTGCCTCAGCCTCCCGAGTAGCTGGGATTACAGGCACCTGCCACCACACCCGGCTAATTTTTTTTTGTATTTTTAGTAGAGACGGTGTTTCACCATCTTGGCCAGGCTGGTCTTGAACTTCTGACCTTGTGATCCACCCCCCCCACCACCCCGCCCCCGAAGTGTTGGGTTTTTTTTTTTTTTTTTGAGACGGAGTCTCGCTCTGTCGCCCAGGCTGGAGTGCAGTGGCCTGATCTCAGCTCACTGCAAACTCCGCCTCCCAGGTTTACGCCATTCTCCTGCCTCAGCCTCCCGAGTAGCTGGGACTACAGGCACCCGCCACCTCGCCCGGATAGTTTTTTGTATTTTTTAGTAGAGCCGTGTTAGCCAGGATGGTCTCGATCTCCTGACCTCGTGATCCGCCCGTCTTGGCCTCCCAAAGTGCCGGGATTACAGGCTTGAGCCACCGCGCCCGGCCTTGTGTTGGGATTAAAGGCGTGAATCACTGTGCCCGCCTTGTTATATACATTTTTAAGTGTACAGTTCAGAGAATCCAGTACCTTCACATTGTCGTGACACCAATCTCCAGAACTCCTTTCCTCTTGCAAAACTGAGCCTCTGTCCCCACTAAACAAGTCCCCAATCTCCCTCCTCCTAGCCCTTGACAACCACAGTTTTTCTTTTTGTCTCGATGAATCTGACCTGTCTGGGTGCCTCTAAGTGGAGTCACACAGTATTTGTCTTTTTGTGACTGGCTTATTTCACTTAGCATGATGTACTTAAGTTTCAGCCATGTCGTACCTACCACTGTTTTGACTTTGATCTTGGTCAAGTCCTGTCACCTTGCTGAGCCATTTCCACTGCAAGCAAAGTATCTAGCACCCAGTGAGGACTCAATAGATGGAACTATTTTAATTATTGTTCAGGAGACAAGAAAAAAAAATCAGGCAATTATAGGCAGTCTGATTAATGCTGCAAGGAGGGAAAATCAGGGGCTGGGAGCTCAAAGGAGGCAATTCACCTAGGCAGCGGTTGTTAGGGCAAGTTTCTGGGAGGTCCTTACTTTGACTTGGGTATTGATGATTTTTCAGATGAGCACACTGAGGTTGGGTGTTCCAAGGCTGACGGCCCAGCCCAGGCCAAGCCATGGAAATCCAGGCATTTCTGGGGGGCTGGAGTTTGGGTGAGGGGCGGCTGGCAACGAGGCTGGGAAAATTAGCAAGGATTGGACTGTGTGGGCAGAAGGTGGCGGGCAGTGCTCTGTCACCTGACTGTGGCCACCCACCCAGGCCCCGTGAAGTTCTGCCGCTTCTCCCCTGATGGCCACCTCTTCGCCAGCGCCTCCTGTGACTGCACTGTCCGCCTGTGGGACGTGGCAAGAGCCAAGTGTCTGCAGGTCCTGAAGGGTGAGTGAGCTGGGAGCCAAGCAGCCAGGCCTGCGTTCCCTTTCAGAAGGTGCTATGTCCTGTATCATGTCACCTTTCCTCCTTCCCCGACCCCGGGCTGGTGCCTGCAGGTCACCAACGGAGTGTGGAGACGGTCAGCTTCAGCCCTGACTCGAGACAGCTGGCATCAGGTGGCTGGGACAAGCGGGTGATGCTTTGGGAAGTGCAGGTATGTCGAGGGCCTGGGGCCACCAGCTTGGGACTCAAGGACCAGTTCCAGAGAGGATGTCACCAGTGTTGCCCTCCCGGCTCAAACCCTCCACTGGTTCCGCAGGGCCCATGCCCACAGCGGGCAACCAAGGCTGCCCCCACCTGGCCACAGCCGCCTCTCCAGGCCTCCCTGCACACAGCAGCCCTCGGGCTTTTTGCACGAGGTCCCCTTGCCTGGACTGTCAAGGCCCAGGTAGCCAGCTGCCCTCTGCTGCCTCCTGAAGCTCAGGGCTCTCTCTAGTCTGGCCAGATGCTGCGCCTCTTAGTTGGGCACCGAGACTCCGTCCAGAGCAGCGACTTCTCACCCACGGTGAACTGCCTGGTGAGACTAACCTCTGCCCTGGGCCCCACCTTGGTGGCCCCATACCCACTTGGAGAGGAGCGGTGGGAAGGGGATGGACTCCGGGACCCACCTAAATGCGGAGTGGGTGGGGAGCTGGCGGGGCCAGACTCACAGAAGCTGCCTGCAGGCCACCGGCTCCTGGGACTCCACCATACGCATCTGGGACCTGCGGACGGGGACCCCAGCCGTCTCCCACCAGGCGCTAGAGGGACACAGTGGCAACATCAGCTGCCTGTGCTACTCAGCATCTGGCCTCCTGGTAAGTGGGTGTCCTGGGTTCCAGGGTGGTCCCCTGCTGGCAGCCAGGCCCTTAAGGCTCCCAGGCCCCAAACCCCAGGGATCAGAGCTGTCTGCTGTCCAGGCCTCCGGTTCCTGGGACAAGACCATCCACATCTGGAAGCCCACAACCAGCAGCCTGCTTATCCAACTGAAGGGCCACGTCACCTGGGTGAAGAGCGTAGCCTTCTCTCCCGACGAGCTGTGGCTGGCCAGCGCCGGCTATTCCCGCATGGTAACCACCCCAGGCCTGTCCCGCTCCTACCCACCCACCCTCCCTCCACCAGGAGCCCTCAGCACTCACTCCAGAAGGCCCACATCCCCACTTGCCCTAGCTAGGAGGGGGCAAGGGCAGGACCCAGGTGCCAGCCTCTCCACCTAATGGCCAGCACAAGGTCAGGGCTGGCCCACTGGCAACTGCATTGACATTTCCATGACCCAAATGGCATCAGGCAGAAGGGAACTCCTGCTCTGAAATTTCAAATACAGCCCACAAACAAAACCCACACCAAGCGGCTCAGATGTTCTTTGGCCCAGGGGCGGTGGCTCACACCTGTAATCCCAGCACTTTGGGAGGTAGAGGTAGGTGGATCACCTGAGGTCACGAGTTCAGGCAAAGACTCCATCTCAAAAAAATGTTGTCTGGGACTTTCCTGGAGGTGGCTTCAGATGCCACAGTGGCCTGGCGAGGCTTCCTGCCATGCCCCCTCCTTTTCCAGGTCAAAGTCTGGGACTGCAACACAGGAAAGTGCCTCGAGACCCTGAAGGTAAGGCAGGGCGCTGTGGCACTGAGGGAGCCATGGACAGCTTCTCCCAAGGCAGGACTTGCCTCGAGCCCCACCCTCTACTCTTGGCAGGGAGTCCTGGATGTGGCCCACACCTGTGCCTTCACCCCAGATGGGAAAATCTTAGTGTCTGGAGCTGCCGATCAGACCAGACGTCGAATATCCCGCACGACCAAATCACCCAGCGACCCTCAAACCTAACACCACCTGGGAGGGCGCCGACCTCACCTGCTCCCCTCAGTGGCACGCCGCTTCCCACCACAGGCCCAAAGTGACTGTGCCGGCATCCAACAGATCCCCATGGCCAGGACTCTCCCGGCCCCAACCACAGCAGACAACAGCAGCGGGCGGGATGCTTGCTGGAACCCATCAGACACCTGGTCCCCAGAACCAGACCCACCCGCCTCAACCCAATCAGTGGAAGTGCCAGGAAACAGCTGTTTCCAGCTGTGCTTTATTGACAACGCGCCACTCAGGCCTTGACCGCGTACTTCCGCAGCGGGTACAGCCGCTCCTTCCGCTGCTGCTTCTTGGTCTTCAGGTTCTCCTCGTGCTTGTTGAGCCGGCGGCGCATGGCGCGTGTCTTCTTAGGCCGCAGGTCCAGGGGCTTGTACTTCTTGCCCTGGGAGACAGATGGCAGGGTGACTCCAAGAACCCGGGTCTGATAGCAGCAGCTAACGGGGCTCGGGAGGGCCATCCAGAGCCACTCAGGAGGACGCTGCCGCCAAAGGACTGGCAGCAGGCCACATACTTCACTAGCTCAATTTAATCCCCCCAAATTTAAGCCTGGTGGGGCCATCCTCATTTCATGCAAGTCTGCCGACCTGGGCTGAGTGCCCAAGTCTTGGCAAAGCTGTGGAAGAGCTGGGGCTTGCACCTCAGGCAAGTTGACTCTCAACTCAGTGCTCCTTCCACTGCCCGATTCCGTCAGGAGGACAGTCAGTCACAAGACAATCTAGTACAGGGTGCGCAGCACCTCCCAAGCCCCGGGTGTGGTTACTGCTACCTCGGCTCTGGTTAGTGAGTATGCTGGGGGCTGAGGCAGTATTCCATCCATCGGTAGGCAGGGCCCACCAAGTGCTGCCCACATGAATGTCCAGCCTCAGAGGCCTGGCTGGCCAAGGCCACTCGCCCCACCCTCTTCCTGCTTTGGGGCCCCTGCCCACAGCTGTCACAGAGCCATCATCTGTCTCTCCATCCTTGGCTCCCACTCCTGCCCCACTTGCTCTCCAGCAGGGGGTTCTAGACCATGATGGCTCTCACTGATCCCTCCTGTGTTCTGCAAAGGTCCCCTGCGCCCCCTTCAGGACTGGGCCCTGTGCTGCGAGCTGGCTTGGCAAAGAATCTGACCCAGTCCCGGCTCAGGGGTCCCAGCCTAGTGAGGAAGACTGAACAGGTAATGAATGGCCTGTGGTGTGGGGGAGGAGAGATGAAGGAAGGCGTCTCTTAAAGATGGGCAGTACCCTCAAAGGCAAGCACGGCGGGGGCCAGGGGAAAGGGCATGCAGGCTCTCCCTGACCTGAACAAGTCAGGTGCAGGACAGACCCTAGCTAAGCTGGATGCTGAGGTCACAGGGCCCCAGGCCCCTGCAGGTGGCCAGAGGACTGCAGAAAGATCCCTGGACAATGAGGGCCAGCCCTGGAGGGTACTTGGAGGCAGGAAAGTCTTTGTCCTCCCACATCCCTCATTCCTGCTGGCACTGGCTGGGCATTCGTCCTTTTCACATTGGCTAACCCCCTAGAGTTCTGCTGTCCCCCAAACAACCACTAGCCACACGGAGCTGTTGATATTAAAGATTTATTTTTGCCACACACATGCTAGTGTCCCCTGAACAGCTAACATAGCTACACTATGGCTCTTTTTATTTTTTTGAGATGAGGCCTCACTATGTTGCCCAGACTGCACTTTAACTCCCGGGCTCAAGCCATCTCCTGCCTCGGCTTCCCAGTAGCTGCGGTTACGGGCCTGTGGCACTTCATCAGCCATGGCTGCTGTTTCCATGTCAAACCTTCAAGTTATTCAAACACTAACTTGGGTAGTGATGTGGAACCATTTTGCACATTAAAGACCCTCGGGCATGGTGGCTCACACCTGTAATCCCAGCACTTTGGGAGGCTGAGACGGGCGGATCACAAGGTCAGGAGATGGAGACCATCCTGGCTAACAAGGTGAAACCCCGTCTCTACTAAAAATACAAAAATTAGCTGGGCATGGTGGCGGGCGCCTGTAGTCCCAGCTACTCAGGAGGCTGAGGCAGGAGAATGGCATGAACCCAGGGGGCAGAGCTTGCAGTCAGCCGAGATTGTACCACTGCACTCCAGCCTGGGCGACAGAGCGAGACTCCATCTCAAAAAAAAAAAAAAAAAAAAATTCAAGACTAAGAGGGGGGCCAGACACCTGTGCACACCTCCCAGGAAAACTCAAGCCGACCCTCCCCAAAGCAAGGTTTGGAACCGGGGCCCATCATGCCATTGGTTGTGGGTGTCTAGGCCTCAGGGTCCTCATCTGAAAAAAGAGCATGGCAGGTGCCTGGCAGGCACTGACTGACACCCAGTACTAGTAAGAGGCAGTGAAAACCTTCAACAGCCAGTCCCATCACTGTCCAAGCCACTCAACTGGGAAGGCTGGACTCAAAACCAGTCTCCAGCCAGGATACCCCAAGCCCCAACGAATTATTGACATGTGCAGCCGGAGGAAGTGGTCTGCAGAGCCACATGCCAGTGCAAGACACTGGTAGAAGGGGGAGCCCGGCAACAAATTGGGAAGGCTAACCACTCTCAGCCCCAGGCACCACGGAAAACCTCTTTATCATGCCCCCTGGCCAGGGACGGCTAGCACTTAGCTTCCTGAAGCCAACCTTCCCTATGCCCCAGCAGACTCACCTTGTAGAATTTTCTGAGGTTTTCTTTCTGAGTCTGGTTAATGACTGTGAGAACACGGGCGATGGACTTGCGGACGACTCGTCTACAAAACAGATGTCAGTGAAGATGGGGAAGAGACACAGCACTTCCCAAGGCTCAGGACCCATATATAGGGCAGGGATAGCTGCAGCCTCCCCTATCAGCCCATCCATATTCACTCAGGAGGAAAGTGTTCTGGGAGTGAGGTCTGAGGGGAGAAGAGAGGGACATGGGATGGGCATTCCAGGAATGGGGCAGGGAATCCAGTGCTGTGGAGCTGTAAAGTGTCAGTTGAGACAGCAGAGGCTATGAGGAAGTGCAGGCTGGATAAATGAGGCAGATCAGGAAAAGACCTTCAATCCTAGAACACGAATTTATCCTGAGGGCTAAGACCCGATCAATGCCAGTTTCAATGAGCTGATGGGAGGGAATCATGCCACAAAGCAGGCAATCAGGCTAGTTTGGGGAATCGCAGGAGAAATGAGACATTTGCAAACTGGAGTCACTACAAGCCAGGAGACTGAAGCAAGCAACAAGCTGGGCAGAAGTTATTTGTAGTCATGGCAGGATGAGGGAGTCACCTAGTAGACGGCTGAGGATTCAGTGTGCAACCGTGCTTATCCAATCCTCCCACCCCTGCCCCCATTAAGGTTGTTTGGGGGAAAAGAGGACGACCACCTTTTTGTTTTGGAGACAGGGTTTCACCTGTCAACCCTGAAGAGCTGAAGAGCAGTGGCTCCATGATAGCCTCCCAACTCCTGGGCTCAAGTGATCCTCCTGCCTCAGCCTCCAGAGTAGCTGGGACTACAAGCCTGCACCACACCCATCTGATTTTTTTTTGAGAAGTGGACTTTGTACCCAGGTTGATGAACTCCAAACCCACATTCCTTTCACAAGTCTCCCCGCACTCTTAGCCATGTAAAATAACTTACGCTGCCACTCCAGGGTGCAAGCCACCCACCTACCAAGGGGCGAAAGGTGAATTAAAAACTCAAGTGTTGGTGGGAAGCGGAAGGAAAGGGTCCACGTAGCTTTGAAGGTAGCATTAAGGTGGGTCTCCGGGGATGCACTCCAGGCACAAGGACCGCCAAGGTCAAGGCAGGTAAGAGGCTAAGCACACAACGGATCTCCCATGCGCCCCAAGATGCACGGAGTGGGCATCTAAGCGGTCAGCTCCTTAAGCCAACTTTGAAATCCTCCGACGATCCCGATGCACACGTGATCCCTACCCACGAGGGCTGTGATCCGGCCGCCTCACTTACATCTTGGAGAGCTTGGAGGCCGCACCGCCTGTCACTTTGGCGACGCGCAGCTGGGACAGTTCCACCTTCAGGTCGTCCAGCTGTTTCAGCAGCTCCTCCTTCTTCTTCCCGCGAAGATCTCGAGCCTTGATCTTGGCCTACGCGCAAGAGAGCGTGTGGCTCAGCCAGGCCGCGGGGCCATATCCCCTTCACCTGCGTGGCCAGCCCCCAAAGGCGCGCGATTCGCCATCGACTACGAGTGCGCCGGCGCCCTACCCAGGACTCACGACAGTGTCCCTCAACGGCCGTGCTCGGCTACTGCAACCCAGGCCCCGGCCGCGCGCCTCTCCCGGCAGAGAAGCGAAGAGGCGGGCTGTGGTGGCGCGAGACCGTTCTGCGCGGCGCCCCACAGGCCCGGCTGGCAGACAGAATCCGGGGACTCAGCCCGCACCGCCTGCCCCAACCCCCGCGCCTCACAGCGATCGGATGGCGCCCGATTCCGCCGCTCTCACCATTGCTGCACAGGCCGCCGATGCCGCCGCCGCCGCCGCCCGCTCCGAGGGAAAGAGGAAGTAGGCGGGGCTGACCTCCACAACTACTGCCGGGTGGCGGCGGGCGCGGCCAATGGCGCCGCAGCGGGGGAGCCCCGGCTCCGCCCCATCTCCCCGAGGAGCGCCGTGGTCCGGCCAGCCCCGCCCGGAAGGGCTGGAGCCCCGCCCCGTGGTGCTAGCATTTTTTCACGGCACCGCTTGATAGCGAGGTCGGCGTCACGCTCTAGGCGCGCAGTTGGGGAAACCGAGGCCCAACGTGGGCGGCAGCTTACCAGAGATGGCACACGGAGGACTCGAATTCGTCCATTCAGTCATTCATTCGTTCATTCATTCATTCGGGAAACCTTGCAGATCTCCCAATCTGGGCAACTCTGAGCTGGGCGCCAGTAGTCTGGGTGTGCTGAGGGGAGGAGGGGCCAAAGTTTTCAAAAATGATGAACCAAGGCTCATGTCGTGGAGGAATTTAAAGTGCGAGGTGGGCGAGAAGGGCTGACTCAGGCAGTTATAATCAAACTTCATAAAGGTTCTGGAGAGGCAGTATGTGGAGCTGCAAAGAGCATTTACATCCTTTATTTTTATTTATTCATTTATTTATAAATGGCAGCTCTGTCACCCAGGCTGCCAGGCTGGAGTGCAGTGTCGCGATCTCGACTCACTGCAACCTCCGCCTCCCGGGTTCCAGCGATTCTCCTGCCCCAGCCTCCCGAGTAGCTGAGTAGCTGGGATTACAGGCATGCACCACCACGCCTGGCTAATTTTTTGTATTTTTGGTAGAGACGGATTTTCGCTATGTTGCCCAGGCTGATCTTGAACTCTTGAGCTCAGGTGATCCGCCCGCCTCGGCCTCCCAAAGTGCTGGGATTACAAGTGTGAGCCGCCACGCGTGGCCCCCAGCCTTTTGTTTTGTTTTGTTTTGTTTTGTTTTGAGACAGGATCTCGCTCTGTCACCCTGGCTAGAGGGCAGTGGCGCGATCTTCGCTCACCAAAACCTCCGCTTATGGGGTTCAAGAAGTCCTCCCACCTCAGTCTCCTGAGTAGCTGAAACTGCAGGCACAAGCCACCAGGCCTGGCTAATTTGTTTAGTTTTTGTAGAGCTGTTGCCCAGGCTGGTCTCCTGGGCTCAAGCAATCCGCCCGCCTTGGCCTCCCAGAGTGCCTAGGATTACAGGCGTGAGCCACCCCGCCTGGCCATACAGCCTTTTTTATTTTTATTTTATTTTTTATATATTTTTTGAGATGGAGTCTGCCTCTGTCTCCGAGGCTGGAGTGCAGTGGCACGATCTCAGCTCACTGCAACCTCCGCCTCCCGGGTTCAAGAGATTCTCCTGCCTTAGCCTCCCCAGTAACTGGGACTACAGGTGTGTGCCACTATGCCCAGCTAAATTTTTCTATTTTTAGTAGAGACAAGGTTTAGCCAGGCTGGTCTTGAACTCCTGACCTCAAGTGATCCACCTGCCTCGGCCTCCCAAAATACTGAGATTACAGGCGTGAGCCACTGGGCCCGGCTAGTACAGCCTTTCTTAAAGTGAACCTGACCAGGTTTCAAATTCTTGCTCTGCTGCCAAGGTAGTAGTTGAGACTCTTGGGAAATCTCTTCCCCTCTCTTGAGTCTCAGTTTGCTGACATGTGAAATGAGGCATTTATGAGAATTAGAGGAGATACCTGTAAACCTATTAACCCCAAATCCGATGCATAACAATGGCTCAAAATATCATCGGTGTTCATGTTCCCAGAGGAAGGAACACTTCAGGAGAGCCCAGAAAGTGAGACGGGGATTCACAAAGCAGGGCATGTTTAGGTTTTCTGATTAATGTCTGCCAACCAGTAGGCATTAATCAGTACTCCAGTGCCACTCCCTTGCCCTTAATAAAGACACGCCACCTTTTTTTTTTTTTTTTTTGAGACGGAGTCTCGCTCTGTCGCTCTGTCGCCCGGGCTGGAGTGCAGTG